ACACAAGAAGCTGCATAAATTATTACTTTGTTAGCACCTGGTATGTTGACCCAATTGCATGCAAACAGGCTAAACTTTGGTAGTGCTGTTTGTATCCTCACTTTTGTTGACAAATAGGATGAATTTTTCCCACTAAGTAATAATTGTATACAATTCTTTAAATTTATTATTTATATTTTGATCTTATTTACACCTTTAGGAAACAAAACAGTGAGATACAATCAACATTATTAGGTCCAGAAGTTCAAAATTACATTAATTATTTAAAGGAAAGTACGATTATTCATTTTGATTCATGTTGTATATTTGTGTGTATAAGTATATTTCATTAGTTTATAACATTTCATATTGCAGGTGACTTGAATAGTGCTCTTTCTCATGCTTGTCATTGTTTGGGAGGTACAACAATTGGTAAACCTTTATTAATTACTATGTTGTTAATTTTTCTGACGATTACTATTTGTCTCTTTAGAAGATAGTATCTCGTTTCACACTCTAGTTATGTACTTTCAGGAAAGGAAACTTAAAGAATATGATTTCAATGAGGATAGTTCTTTGTCAGTTTATTCGATACATTGAACTTATGCCCACAGGTTGTTGATATGTATATTGATTGTTTATGTCTTTGTTTGCTTCAGTTCATTATATAAATATAGTTGATTTTCTATTATTATAGCTGGCACCTTATATCCAGAATTTAGAAATGTCAAAGTACTAGGTATCCATGATCATAATATATGACCATGGACTGTTCAAATTGTGGGACTGTCATTATGTGTTTTAATGCTTTTTAAACAGCTCGCCTTATATTACTACATAGAATTGTAGTTTTGTGTTCCAACATGTTGTAGGAATGAAATTCGAATATTGTTTTTATATGGTGAAGAAGCCCTGTAGCCTATGTTTACATCATGGAAATACAAAGCCCTGGAGGTCTATGTTGAATGTAAATTTTGTAAGACTACAATGGTTTGAGTGAAACTATAAAAGTATCCATCAATGGGTAATTGCCCAAGATTTAAAGTGGCCTGTTACTAAAACAATTATGACTATAGAGTTTAAGGTGTGACGGATGTATCTGGAAGCCTGTTTTTATATATATAGTGCAAGTCCTCAATATTGCATATATGTTGGGGTATGTGATCTCATATTACAGTTTCTTGGTTCACAGGTTGGGATAAAGGAATATAGAAGTGGATATCAACTCTTTGCATTTACAAAATCAAATATCAAACCCCTGGAGTGAAGCAAACATATTGAGCACACTTGTTTGTGTCTTATTCACAAACAGATTAACCAAGCAGCAACCTATTAGCTCAAAGTCTGAATAGTGTGACAGTGGTGGATTATAAAGATTTGAAGCAGCTCTGAAAAGAAATTCATGATAGCTATTTTAGTAGATGCCTGAATACTCTAAAGTGTAATGTTCAACAAGATTGAGTAATCTTTAGTGTACTACGTATTTTCTTAAGCATTTATGCTCTTGGGGTAAGGCCTCAAGTATATGTAAAGGTAGTGTTTTTTCTTAATAATAATAATTTGTATGTAGTATATGTTATAAAAAGTCACTTTCAATAACGAAAATAATTTTGTGTAATAACAGGATTTTCTATCACTAAAGTATATCCTATAACAGCAATGACCAATGAAAGAAATTGTCATTAAATAGTTGTAATAATGACAATGCTTTGTCATAAAAATAATATATTAAATAATAATTAGGTGTATTAATGACGGGATTCCCTGTTATAAGTGATCCTTTTTAATGAGGGTAAATGTACTCTCATCACTTACTTATCAATGACAGGAACATTATACTGTCACTATATATCTTTAACCGCGGAAGCAGTAGTGACGGAGGGTGACAGTAGATATCCCGTCATTAAACACATTTTATGACGGGATTGTATGTTTTAACTACGGGCTCCCCTCTCATTATAGACAAAGTTTCTTGTAGTGTTACCAATTTTTACTTTTTCTCGGCTTGCGTGTGAAAAGTGTTTTTTCCTTTTATATTGCACAAAAAACACTTATTTTACCAAACACTACCAACTTTTACTTTTCAAAATCACTTTTTTATCAAATAGTATCAATTTTTACTACTAATCACTTTGTCCTTACATCTCCAAAAGTGCTTTTTTAAGCAGAAGCAATTGCAAACACTTCCCAAAACTCCTTATAATATCCAAGCTCATCGCGCTAGCAGGAGTAATGGCCATAAATTCATGTCTGGTCAAGTAGTGGTGGTAGATCCGTCCCGTTCCGAATTGGTCCGTTTTGAGAGGTGTATGACTCCTTTTTATTGCTCCATATTTTTTTTTTTGAATTAGAAATTTTATTATGTGGCATTATTAAATAAATTCATAACAATTTTATTTTTAAATGGTTTACATTTGTAATGAATTTGCCTACGTATACTCTTAACAAGCAATGAGTCCATGGTCGAGATATCAAGCCCCGTTCTTTATTTTTTTGAGGAATTGTCCAGGATTAAAAATGGCTAAAAATCATACTGTAAATATGAGTAGGAATTTAAGTCTTTGATTCCCTAAATAAGACTCTTAATTACTGTTTTGAATGATGATATAACTATTACGTAGTACTACCTCCGTCCCGTTTATATTGGGACGGAAGAGGGTGGCACAATTATTAAGAAAAGTGAGTTTTTATGATTAATATTAATTGATAAAGCAAGAATAAAGTAAGAATGATTTAGAGCCACACAAACTTTGCCAAATATGGTATGAGACAATTTAAGTGGGACTTCCCGAAAAGGTAAAACAGGACAATATAAATGGGACAGAGGGAATATTATTAAATACTCCTTCCGTCCCGTTGGGATGTTCCCGGTTTGACCTACACACATATTAAGAAAATAAACTTACCAGAGATAAATTTTACTGTTTTGACATTGTTTTTTTTTAATAAAATTTTGACACTGTTTTGACATTGTTTGGACACTGTTTGACACTGTTTTGATTTAGGATAACTTTCCATATAGGGAAATGAGAACTTCTTTTTGGGACATCTAAAAAAGGAAAGTGGGAACATCATATCCCAACGGGACGCGTACGGAGGTAGTAATAGAGATATTCTAAAAAATGTTTCTGAAATCAAACTTAATTACAAAAATATAATTTTGTAGTATAGTCTTATAGTCACTTAAATGCAAATTTAACGAATTCAATAAAAAAATAACATTAACTTTAACTATTTACTGTAAAAATATAGAAAACAGCAATTTCCAAGCAAGCACTTGGTCTTAAACTCAATCTGTTTATTCTTTGTTCCGTTGAAAATGTTTTTCAATCTGTTTTTTCTTTGTTCCGTTGAAATGTTTTGTTATCACTTGTAATTGTTGTAAATTTGGATTAATTTATACGAAGTGATTTGCTATGGCACACTTTTTCTGTCTTCACTATATCCGTGATATAGGGTGTATTTGGCATTAAGCGGTTAGCGAATAGTGAGTTTTGTTAGCGGGTTGTCAATAACAAATTCAATCAGCGGGTTTGACTTGCGGAATAAATTGGCGGGTTGTGATAAAATGTTTGATAATTTAGTTGTTAAGCCATAATATTAGTAAGAAACGCCATTTTTCAAAATACCAACCAAAAAATCTCCTATTGACAACGTTTTCATTTTAGCGTTTCCGTCCAAAAATGCTAGTTCCGAACAGATATTTAGCAAACAGCTTTATCACTTATTTAAAATGTTAAAAGTGGTCAAACCGTCATTTTTCGGCTGGAACGTCGCTAACTAAACACCTCCATAGTCTATTCTTGGACTTTTTAATTTTTACCACATTATTTATACTATCCAACTCTTAAATATGATGCTTCAGGAGTTCCTTTTTTTAGGAAGTAATGTATTTGTCTCTTGCTTTAATCTTTCTCTTTAATGTTGCTATTGATGTATTTAAGAAAGGTATGCCTTTCTTGAGAGGTCCTTCTCTCATTTTGTATTTAACATTTAATTAATAAAACTCTGGAATATTTCTCGGCATTTACCCTAGCTACCGATTGGTGGCTTACTCACCGAGGATTAAAAAACCTCTGTATGAAAGTAGGCAGAAATAATTAAAAAAAATGGATGAATTGAAGTACTTCATGTGTATAAACACGATAGATAGTTTTAGAAATGCAAACATTTATCAAAAAGGACGTTATAGTGTTATCATTCAAATTATTTTCATCGTGTCTATTATTCATTTAATTGATTTAAATCATTATCGCAACGTTTATTTATATTTAAATTATCAAATTATAATATTTTTATTGATCCATGTGTATAGAATATTGTACATTGAGGATGTCATAAAATTTACCTTCTTTTATTCTTTTTAATAGAATTAAATTAATCATTAGTTAAAGAAGAATACGTATTTAATCCTATTTCGGGATGTTTTCTTTTTTATTGTTTTTAGTATCAGACCAGATGTAAATAGATCAGATCAATCCAAATTAGACTTGACAGTTATAAAATACATATAAATTAGATATTTATCAGACCAGACTAGTTCAAACTAGATCAGACCAGATCAGATGAGACCAAATCTAACAATTTTCAATACAAAAGAAAACATTTTACTCCCTCCGTCCCGTTGGAATGTTCCCGCTTTCCTTTTTTGGATGTCCCAAAAAGAAGTTCTCATTTCCCTAAATAGAAAGTTATCATACATCAAAACAGTGTCAAACAGTGCAAAACAGTGCCAAACAGTGCCAAACAGTGTCAAAACAGTAAAATTTATCCCCTGGTAAGTCAATTTCCTTAATATGTGTGTAGGTCAAACCGGGAACATTCAAACGAGACGGAGGGATTATAACTTTAAGTGCATTTTCGTCTCAATTTGAGCCGTTTTAAAATCAATCTTCTTACCTGGACCTTCTATCGATGTGTACTGTAGGACCGTCCGATTACAAGCTCTATGATGTTCCGCGTGGAACCCCAATGTCCTGCTTTACTTCCTCCTTTTTTTCAATTTCTGTTGAAACGTGTCCGGGAAATCGCTGCTCTATTTATATCCCCGTACGTTTCTTCTCCTATCCTTTTTATTTAAATACTCCGTAATAATCAGCACAATAAAATATCTCTGGCAGGAATTCAGCTGCAAATTTCAAGGAATAACTTCGGGATGTTAACTTTATGTCCTTCAGGTTGAAGTTTGTGTCTTAATTTTCTTATTTATTGAGATAATTTATATTCTCTAGGATGTGTTTTTGATATATATTATAATATGCATAGCTCAGCAAATCACTTTGAACTCTCAAAGATTCAATTTTTATTTCTATTCTCTCTCTAGAAACTTCTGTATTCGTGTATGTCCTGAAATTCATTGAATATAATAATTTGGTATTGAAGGTTGAAGCTTATCTCTTTCTATCTGTCGTTATCTGTGTAACTCTGCTTTCCATCACTGCGGTTTTGCAATTGATAGCTGAAATTAAATGGGATCGTGAGTATAAAGGTCTCCTGGCCTTTGTGGTTTAAGAGGAAGGAAGAAAAAGAAGAAGAGTTTCAGAAATGGGAGTTGAGGACTTGTTTTTTAACAAGTTGATGGTTAGCAGCAATAGCTGTTATGGAGGAAGAGGAGGAGGGGAAGAAATGATCAAGGAGTGGAAGGACATACCGGCGGAGTTGCTGTTGAGGATTGTATCTCTGCTGGATGATCGTACCGTTATTGTGGCTTCTGGTGTTTGCACTGGCTGGAGAGATGCCATTTCTTGGGGTCTTACCCAGCTTTCCCTTTCTTGGTATGATTTTTTCATTGAATTTTCTCTTTTCTATCAAGTTTCTGCCTTTTTTGTATTTTTTAAAAGTGGGTATATAAATTCCTTTTATTTTACTTTCTTTGCAAATGAAACTAGGAATTCTTGTTATGAATCAATATATTCCAAAAGAGCAGATGGAATAAATTGACTGTACTATGACTCTGTCATAATTAAGAATCAAAATTCCCCACCCTTGTAAAAGGTTCTCTTGTGAGTAGGGTTCATCCATCACCCTTCATTCCTACAGTGGGCAGGTCCCGCTATGAAAATGAATGATACTGAATGGTGATGATGGTGGCACATAAGTAATTCGGCTGCACAATAGAGCCAGATAAGGTCCCCTCCCCCTCAGAATTACCCATACTCTTATGTGATCCATTTAGGACAACCCAACATGTTTAAGCTTTTCTTTTTTTACCTCAGGGGTCAGGGGAGGGGGCTGGGGAGCCTGGGGTAAGCCCTCCCGTATGGGAGAGTGAGCCAGCGACCAAACCAAACATGTTTAAGCTTTATGTGTATATATGTGCATCAGTGTATATTCCCTTATGAGTAAAAATAATTAACATTACCAGATCCCGATGAAAGGGTGTGTCAAGTGTTTGTCTTTCATTAGCACAAATATGTAGCATAACATTTTGGTATACCTCTCCTCTGATGTTATGTTTATATAATGGTTCAAACATGTTCTAGCTTTATGTGTATATATATGTGCATCAGTGTATGTATTAGATTATTGATACATGTTTATGAACAGGTGCAAAAAGAAGATGAACCAGTTGGTACTATCACTAGTGTGCAAGTTCACAAACCTGAGGGTTCTGGTTCTTCGACAAGGTTTCCCTCAACTTCAAGATAATGCGGTTGAGGCGATTTCAAACTGTTGTCATGAATTGCAGGACTTGGATCTCAGCAAGAGCTTTAAGCTGACGGACCGCTCCCTATATGCTCTTGCCCAAGGCTGCCCTAACCTCACAAAGCTAAACATAAGCGGGTGCTCGGCTTTCAATGACAGTGCCATTGCATACCTTTCTGAGCATTGTAGGAAGCTTGAGGTCTTTAATCTCTGTGGCTGTGTTAGGGGTGCTACTGATAAGGCCCTCAAGGTATGGTTATCCCATATCTGCAAGTCTCATCCTTTTTTCTTTTATATGTTGCATTGGTATTATGATATTAATCATATTATCAAATGCCAAATCTACATATAAACGTAACATCACAGGAGAGGTATACCAAAATGTTATACTACATATTTGTGCTAATGAAAGACAAACACTTGACACACCCTTTCATCGGGATCATGTAATGTTAATTATTTTTACTCATAAGGGAACATACTGGACCCAATATATACCTTCACGAACTGACACCTCGTCCGGATTGTGTGTTTTTCGTATCCATTTTTCGTAAGGGCTTACATTATGGCCGCAGATTTGATCAATTGTGTTCCACCCTAATACGATGTTATGACTTGGAAGTTCTGTATGAAAAAGCAATCAAATTTTACAAGAAAACCCTCCTAAGATGTTATATGTTGGTTTCTTTCATATTTAGCTTATTGGGATAAACTCTACCACAAAACCTCAATCTTCTGGGTAGATTCCTTGTGGGTGGGGAATTAGAGCAATGTAACATACTTTCATAGTTCTGTAGGATGCCCCATTTGAAGTTGCTTTATGACACCAGCTAAGAATATTTGGCTAGAGGAGATGTGTCGAGCATCTCTGAAAGGTGTTTTGAGTGGACTATTACCTACATACCCATTAATGCCTTGATTCTTATAAATTACTTCCTTTTTTGCTCAGGCAATTGGGTATTTCTGCAACCGGCTGCGGTCGGTGAACTTGGGGTGGTGTGATGAGATTAGCGACGAAGGCGTGATGAGCCTGGCATACGGTTGCCCTGACCTGAGGGCGCTTGACTTGTGTGGATGTGTCCTAATAACAGATGAGAGTGTGATTGCACTCGCAAATAACTGCCCTCACCTCAGATCACTCGGCCTCTACTACTGCCAGAACATAACCGACAGGGCCATGTACTCTCTCGCTCACAAGCACGAGATTTGGCCATCCATGAAAAAGAAGAAGAGCGGCAGAAAGAACGCGGGGGAGGAGGGGCTTATGAATCTGAACATCAGCCAGTGCACGGCCCTCACCCCGCCAGCAGTTCAGGCAGTTTGTGACTCCTCACCTGCCCTCCACACCTGCCCGGGCCGTCATTCCCTCATCATTAGCGGCTGTTTGAATCTGACTTCTGTGCACTGTGCGTGTGCGGTCCAAGCACACCGAGCTCACACAGTGTTTCCTCATACGGCTCATGGAGTATAACTTACTGATTACTGGCGGGTTCCAAAGAATGTTTATATGTGTATAGCTGCTAGTCTCTTGTAGGAACGAACAACTTGAGTTTACTCTTGGTTGATGGACATTATCGTTCTGCTAATAGACCCTTGGTGCTATTAATTAATTATGCATTTATTATTTTACGAATGATAAAACAATGCTACTATTCTCTTTAATGGTAAAAACATGACCACTCCCCATAAGTAGGATAGACCAGGTCTACCGTCCCGGAAAGGTCAAGCCCAGATAGGAACCAAAACAGGCTGTTCGGTTATAGGATCAGTGCCAGAATCGTGCCCCACTGGCGCCGGTCTCGGATTTGAATAATGGGCTGGTCCCTGTCCGGCTCCGGTCTAATGGCTATTGTTTTCCTCTTTTTCCTATTGGCTCATTCAGAGCCGTTTGGGGTAGGGTTGTAATTGAACCGAATAATTTTGATTCGATTCGTGATTCGAATTCAAAAACGTCGATTCGAATTCGAGCAAGTAGAATAGATTTGTATTCGTATTCAAATCTGTTTTTTTATTCGAAGACTTTTCGCTTAGGAATACAAATACTAAGAACAATATTAATGGACTGTTCCTGGCCATGAATTCTCGCTTTTGAAATGACGCCTAGTAACCTTCATGGGCTGTTCCCGGCGGTTTCATAACCGAAAGGTTGTGTTGAAGAGGCGCCTTCTATTGAAAAAATCGGCTAATGACGACGTCAATTGGATTCTTCTACAATTGTAAAATATAATTCGAGGTTTAAGTAATCAGAGATGAGAATAGTATGATACATATTCATGTACAATATCAATATAGATGATACTACGTACTTGTATATTATTGAATTGTATAACAATTCATTTTGTACTAATATTATTTTATTAGTTCTTTAGAACTTCTAATTCAAAATAGTTTATTGATATAGGTAGTCTTTCACGTAACCGTAAGAGGGTGGTTCTAAATTCTTATTCACTAGGAGTCATGAAAAACGTCTCGTTGGGTCAACATCATCACGACCCTGTTATACGAATAAAGCGTGGAGAATTAATCCTGGAGACACTATGACCAGGGGCGGAGGCAGGGCATTGGGCCGGAACAGTGCCCTGGGCCGATACAAAGAATATTTCTAGAAAAATAATTACACAAAAATTTTTACCTTAAAAATTAAGCCATTTTTAAAATTTGGGGTGGGCCAGGGCCTAGGTTGGCCCACCCCTAGCTCCGCCTATGACTATGACGGACAAGGAGATCAAGATACTTAGCATAGTGAATTCAGAGTTATCTATTTACATTCATCTCTTACTCGGTTAAAATCAAACATCAATTTAAATTGCTGAAATCAAGTAATGTAAATGAGTAAATCTAATGAGAAATAATGTATACATAATAAATAAACACACGGAGTATAATGAAATCAAATAATGTAGATTGATTAGAAATAATGACATGTAGTACTACGTATATGATAAAATTTAGGTAAAAGGCAAAAATGTGATCACTTATATAAAGTGATGATAATAGTACAAAGTAATTTTTAGGGTAGTAATGTTCAATTTTACACTAGTGATCATGAAGTTATACACAATAAATATAATCACATTTTACTGCTCTAATTAAATAATACTTTAGAAAAAACTCTATCTAATTAGGACAAATTTACATATACGAGTATTACTTAATAATCTCATGTATACTAGATCAGTAGGAGGCTACAAGTCATAAAACGTGCAGTCTACAAATGCATTTCCCACCTAGATTCTTATATTGGAAGTGTTCTATGGTAACTTTGTCACTAATATTTATGGCAAAAATCATATCCCTTCTACTTGAACTTTAGTTAAAGAGGGAAGTTTTCCATTTGCTCGATCGTGTACGACATAAATTAAAACGGATACCCGCAGGGTGCTCTTGAGAAATCATGTTCTCGAAACAATGTGTATTAGCCGCCTAGAAAAGGTTATCTTGCACTTTTACAATGTCTTCAATTCCGGAATAGTTTCACTTTCAAAATACTCCCTCCATCACTTCATGTGAGAGTAAGGTTCTCGTTTTCAATTTACAGTGTTTAACTGTTCATAAAGTTATCGATTTCTATCAATTATAAGATTTTTTTACAAAATAAATTAATAAAGTTTGCATATTGAATCCACATTAATAGTTTTAAAAAGTAAAAAGAAAACACTCAGATTTGGTAGTAAAAGAATAAAGAACAATTTGGATTGACTAGATAAATTGTTGACGAGAACCTTACTCTAGAACGAAGACAGTAAGAAAGCACATAAAACAAACTTTTATAAGATCATATTAGTGAAGATTAGTTTAGATCAAACAAGATGGGGAAATTTCAATTCAATTCAAGATGAACACAACTTTAGAGATTTGATCAAGTCAATACGCTAGATTAAATGTTTGATAGATAGTAACATCCTAAATGTAAGTGCAAGTTAGTAAGTTGATAAAAATAATTCCTACTTGCAGTGATTATATAATAACAATCCCCATCAAAAGGGTTTATAAAAATAATCCAAATTAACAATGGTGTTCATAAGAATAAATTAGGATCAATTCAAATTAATGTATGTTTAATACTCCCAATTCACCACTACTCTCACTTTTCTCTTCCTCACTCTTCTTGTGGGGGTGAAAATCTAATACTCATTTAATCTCAATGTTATTTCCGCCTTATGCAATTATATCTGGGTTGTAAGATAGAAGTGTTACCCAAGAGGCCGAGATGAAGAGTGGTGAACGAAAAAGGGAAACTAAGGTTACCACAAAACGGGCATTAATTGTGAATTAGTCTAGCTTGTGAATTTCGCCTTTTCTATTTATAGCATTGGTACAGGCTGCACGCTATTCCAATCGTGTGCCCGTGAAAGGACTCTAGATTCTTTTTTTTTTTTTTGAGAGTGGACTCGAGGATTCTAGCTACTCCGACGGTCCGACCAACATCTATTTTGGTGATTAGATCACTTCAACCTTTCGGTTATTGTGCTAATCAGTACCGATTATGAATTAAATCACTTTAATCACATCCATTTGATGGTTAAAACTAATTAACCATAAATATAAAGTTCAGTTCGGGAAAATTACATTTTTATACGATGTAACTTGGTACTAATTTTTGAGTATGATGCTAATTAATGAATACTCCATACAAAACACCGAGTTGGACGTATTCTTGACCACTATCAAAGTGAGAATGTCGTCATGTCGTGTGCGCGTGAGGGGATTTGCATTTGAGTTATTGCTTCAGTTAAAATTACTAGAATTTATATTAAGTGCATATAATTTTTTAGACAAATTAGTGCCCTTTTTCTATATTCTTCATAGGTATAATTTATAAGTGTTATATTCTATTAAAAAAAATAGCAATATTGACAAAGAATTAACATGTATTGATTGAGTTTGACATTGATCATGACACATTTTTGACACCGCTAGATGCTAAATAACCGTGACAAAATGGCATTGACACGGATTTAATGTATTCATGTCAAAACCCTTTCGAATTTTGATGAATCTGTACCAAGTTCGGGCCAAATTTGTTATTTTTGGTAGTGACATGAATTGTGGTTTATAAATTTTCATTGTTAAAAATTACATTAAAATGTCTACTACAATGCATAAATCAAATCTTAAGAAAGATGAAAATTAAGAAAAGAAAAGAAAAATGGTGACAATCTGAATAATTGTTAGGCTATATAAAATGGGTACCCAATTCGATAAATCATCCTAAATTATTAAAAGAGAAACAGGAAAAAATCCATTTAAAGAAATTGCATATAATATGATAAACATGTGGTATGTATTTGAATTAATACTAAAGAGAAATTGATAACCAAATTAAAGTCGCGAACAAATGAATGTATTCAAGTTCGAATTACGTATAACCTTGCGCATTACCATAAGTATTTATCATAGAAGTTCTTAAATAAAATATAGAAATTGATTCTTGTACTCTTCGTATCCCATGCAATATAGAAAAAATGATTCTTCATTGTTTCATACTCCGTATTTAAATTTTATTTTGGCATTGCAAATTTTCAATAGAGCTTTTTAGTTTATGCTAGAGCATCTTCAATGGGATGCTTTTAACATTGAGAAATTTGTGACACATGGCAATATATGTATGGAATGTTTATCCATGTAGGAACAATGTCAAAACTTAAATTGGTAAAGCATTAAAAAGCTCCGCAATGCATCACGTTATTGTGTAACTGTTATGTACAAGTGGATATATTTAATCCAAATTTAATAAATGAGAAACCCAGAATTTCATTAACTCGAACCCCAACATGTATTGCGATTTTACGATTAAGCTTACCCAGGCTGTATAACTAGCTGTTTAGAATCAGAAAGTGGGTTTGAAAGTGTTAACATTAAATTTTGACAATTCAGCATGACATATCGGAATAAAGAGAGCATTGGAGCAAAAAACTGAAACACTTTCACAGGACATTACGTGGCTCCATTTTTTTTACTGTTAAAAGCATCCCATTGGAGATGCTCTTAAATGCGAACAATTTAGATTTCAATGCTAACTTTGCAAAAAGGAAATTGGGAAGTAGGCCTGTGCACATTGCCATTTGCCACCCCATACTTTAGCTAAACTTGTGTAATTAATACTTTCATTCTAAAATTAACTTTTACACCGAGTTTTTATTTTAGATTGGTTTTCACGCCCCGTTTTCATAATATATTACTCCGTATAACTTTTGGGTGCAAACTGCAAACGATTGAATAATTATTTCAGAAATGTGATCGCAAAGTCTATAATGGCTAAAAATGGGGTTCAACTTGAAAAGTCTCAGTTTACTTTGATAAAAAAAAAATATGGGACACATGGGTACTGATTGTAAAAAATCCACGTTAAGTTAAATCTTTCTAATAATTTTACATTGTAAAAGATATTTCAGATTAGTACACCAATAAACAATTCACATTTTCGAAAATATCTTTTAAAAATTTATAAAACTCACATAACATTTCAACGACTTAAAATTCTTGTTGTTGTTGTTATAAACATATTTAATATGAATGATTTTTTTAATTGCATAAATGTAAACTATTGATATCAATTTCATCTTGATATAAACATACGGGGTTAGGTCATGAATAATACCAATTAAAATGATTTGTACATATATAAGACCAGTTTTAAT